TTTTGTCCATTGACAAACAGTGAGGTTCCTTATGCAAAAATGAACGTTTCAACTTTTCTTGCATAAGAAACCAATGTGTGCACAGTACATAGCTGCACGCTAATAAGACAGTACAGCCAATGAATCAATACCTTTCTTCGCATTCAGTAAAAACAAGAAGACTATCCTTTCTAGTGAAACCTACGGGCTATAGAAAAGGTGCTTTCAGAGAAAGAAGTATGAGTTTACATTCCTTCACTACTTCAAAAGAGGACAAAACTGCTTTTCTTAAGCAAGTATTAGAAACAATGTAACAATGTAAGCCGCAAGAAACTAAGGAGATATAAGTATAAAAATCTAAAATAAATTAAAAATAAATAGGAGAAAACAAATAAAACCAAAAAATAATTCTTTGAAAATACCACCACTAGTAACAAAATAGATAAATCCCTGGCAAGCTTATTCACAGAAAAATAACTAAGTAAGTAAGTAAATAAATAAATAAATAAAGCTCAAAGATACAGGAATTTAGAAATGAGCCAGTGCATGTGACGACAAAAAATGTGGAGTAAAAGAATAGAGAGAGCTATATGCGACACTGTGGCAACAAAATTGAAAAACTAAAGGAGTTTCCAACTGGAAAAGCAATTTAAGTAATTAGAAATGTCCCTTGGACCAAGTGGATTCATAACTAAGACTTATGTAATTTTGGGGAGGCTGGGTACCGGGAATTGAACTCAGGACCTTGCACTTGCCAGGCAGGCATTTGTGCCTGCTAGACTATATCCCCAGCCTGAGACTTATCTTATTTTTATTTTATTTTATCTTTTTGCCTTTTTGTCTGTTTGTCTTTTTGAGACAGGGTCTCGCTATGCAGTTCAGGCTGGCCTTGAGCTCACTTTGTAGCCCAGGCTGGCCTCGAACTCGCAAAGATCCTTCTTCCTCAGCCTCCCAAGTGCTGAAATTACAGGAGTGGGCCACCATGCCCAGCTCTCTAATTTTTAAACAATAGATACCACTAATGTTAATTGAGCTGTTTTATGTAATAGAAAAGGATGGACCATTCATCAATTTATTTGTTTTTTTTCATCAATTTATTTGATAAATCCAACAAACTTTAATATCAATATCCAATAATAATAGTGAAATAAGAAAGCTATAAGTCTAATTTCACATTTAAAGTATATAGTGTTTAAAGAAATCTTAGCACATAGAACCCAGCAATAATCAAATTATATGAACAGTAAATTGTACTCCAAGAATGTAAGGGTAAACTTGGCATGGTGGCACACTCCTGTAATCCCAGCACTCAGGAGGCTGAGGCAGGAGGATTGTTGTGAGTTCAAGGCCAGGCTGGGCTACAAAGTGAGCTCAAGGCTAGCCTGAACTGCATAACTGGACCCTGTCTCAAAAAGGCAAAAAAAAAAAAAAAAAAAGTAAGGGTATTCAATATCAGGAAATCTACTAGCATAAACTACTTGTCCATCAACATATTAAAAAAGATAATTCAGATGATGCTAGTGTTAAAATGTCATCTTTTTCAATTATTAATTTTTATATTTATTTATTTGCGGTGCTGGAGATCGGACCCAAGACCTCGCACACACTAAGCAAGTGCTCTATCACTGAGCTACACCTCCAGCCTGAAAAGTTATTTACAATAAAAATATTATGGCAAACGGAAATAGAAGTAACAAAGATCATTTGCTAAAATAAATGGTAAATGTTACTCTAAATAGCAGAACATTAAGACTACTTCAATTAAAACCCTAGATAGATAGGAATGGCACTTTCCTCATCATTATTTAACACTTCTCATGTTTTCTAATAAATTTGATAAGGCAGGAAAATGAAATAACTTGCTACAAACATTGGAAAAGAACTAAAATATGTCTCATTTTGCTGGTATGAGTCAATATTCATAGACTCTAGGGTAAAATTATTAAAATAATAAGAGAATTAGATAAGGAAATATGAAAGTTAAGTCTGATTGTGCCAACTTGAATGGTTTAAGTGCTATCTAGGGCACTGGTGGAGCACACTTCTGGGTGTGTCTGGGGAGGTCACGGGGGCATGGCCTTGGGGTCTATATCTGGGCCCTGGCCCCTTCCTCTCTGCAACTGTCCGCCTGCTCTGCTTCCCTGCCACCATGAACTATGCAGCTTTGCTCAACACCCTTAAGCCATGATGTTTCTGCCTTGGAGCAGCCAACCTTGGACTGAATCCCCTGAAACTAAGAGCTGCAGAAATAAATCTCTCTTTAAGTTCTGGGTGTCAGGTATTGTGTCTCACCAACAGGAAAGGTGACTCATACTGGGAGCTAGATTGAAGGTAAATATTCATGACTGATAGCTTTTCACTATTTTGACAATAAGCACTTAGAAATGAAATAAGGGAAAACTATTTTACAATAACAGCAACATGCACAAAATGCATAGGGATAAGTGTGATAATAAAACTACTTAAATTTAATGTATTAATAAGTAAAGGTATAAATTTAATGAAATTTCAGTTAGAATCACAACAGGGTTTGACTCTTTTTAACTGGAAAACTATCTTAACATTTTATAGGGAAGAATAAATGCCTAAGAATGGCTCAGAAAGGTTAAAAAAAAACTCAGCAAAGATTGCTTTCACTTATCAGATATCAGAAGGTATAATAGGCCCACTGTAATAACCTCAATATGGTATTGGTATAGCAAGAGAGTTGTAGGTCAGTGAAATAGCATTATGAATGCAGAAATATACTTTAATATATGAGAATCTATATGATAAGTGTGTTGGTCCAAATTAGTGGCAAAGATGTATTATTTGATAGATGGTACAATTGATCTAGGTGGAAAGAAAGCTAAACCGAGCCCTCTCTCATACCATATGCAAAAACTAGCACATGAATTGAAGGCATAAATGTAAGAATCCAAGCATTAAAAATCTGGCAAGAAAATCTGGGAGAATACATTTACAACCTTGAGGTATGGAAGATATTTTTAACCAACATTGCTAACTGTGAAGATGTGAAAGGAAAGACATATTTGACTATAGAAATTAAAAGCTTTGTAAGAGTTATAAATGAAAACAATAGAAAAACTAGATCTTGCAGAAAATTGCAACATACACGAGGAAGAGTTAATACAATAATCAAAGGGTTTTCATAATTAATTCAAAATGTAATATTCCCCCAAATGGGCAAAAAATATAGATGGATCCCCCCGAACAAATCCACCAGCCAATCAGCATTTTAAAAAATGTTCATTCTCATTAGAAATAAAAAGAAGGCAATTAAAGTAATGATGCAATATCATTGTACACCTATAAAACTGGCAAAAGTTAAAAAAAACTAAGATCAAACGTACTGCTGATACAAATGCAGAGAGAAGGGCACTCCCATATGCTGTTGATAGAAATGTGTGAAAAGTTCTGTTCTTTTTGGAAATTAAAGGAAAGAAAGAAATACTCCCTTTCTTCCAGTAAGATACCACCTGAAAATCTGCTCTATAGAAATAAAGGAATCAGTATATAATAATATATGATCTGGAAGCAAAAAAGAGAATAAGATGAATGTACTGACTAAATTATGGTACGGTCACACCATGGAATCTTACATACACACAAAAAAGAAGGAATGGAAGATATGTATTTTGACTCGGAGAGAATTCTACTAGGTGTTAATGAGTGGAAAAAATGTGTGTGTGTGTGTGTGTGTTGTGTGCATGTGTAAATATATATCATCCTGTGGTTACCTAGTTGGAAAGAGCAAAAGGGAGCTGATGCAGAAGTTAGCAGAGAACCAAAAAGAAAGAACCAAAAAGGGTGCAAAGTACATATGATGTGTTTATATTCACATCATATATGCACATATCATTGTGTTTAAATCTTTGTAATACACATTTTAAAAAAAATTTTTTAAATCACAGTTTGTTTGGTTTTTGGTTTTCTTTTTTTTTTTTTTTGGTACTGGGAATCGAACTCTGGATCTTAGGCCAGGCAGGCGCTTGTGCCGCTGAGTTATATTCCCAGCTTAAAAAAAATTAAAATAAATACTTTCAACATTCAACTCAGTAAGTCGAAATACTAAAAAAGAACTAAGTGAAATTAGAAAGGAAAAATTAATAAAGGTAAGAGCAGAAACTGATGCAACAAAGAAAAACAATAATTGATAAATCACGTCAAAAGATGGTTCTTGACAAAACTGATAAAATCAAGAAACCTACTGGATGTATTATTTTTCAAAAGATAGGTGGGAGGAGAAAAAGAAGGAAAAGGAGAAAGAGTGGGAGAGGGAGAGAAAGAGAAGTGGTCGAGGAAGAGGGAGAGGAAAAGAGAGGAATACACCACATAAGGCATGAAACAGGAGATATAACTAGAGAATCAGATCCCTTTAATTAAAAATCACAGTGAATCATAATTGAATGTAATATTTCCAAGTCTAGGGACAGTACACTGCTTTCTAGGAATATATATCCAAAACTGATTGAAGAAGATATATAAAAATATGAATACACCAATGACCATAGATAATACTGAAAAGGGGGGCTGGGGATTTAGCTCAGTGGCACAGCACCTGCCTGGCAAGCGCAAGGTCATGAGTTCGATTCCCGGTACCAGGAAAAAAAAAAAGGGTTTTTCTAATAATCTACTTTCCTCAAATGCACTGTAAGCCCCAGAAGATGAAAAGCTTCCAAACTGTTGGCTCATATTATATAAAAAAACATAGCACACGCACACACCAGAGAACTGGAAACTCAACTTGTGTGCTCCCTCTGTCCTATTCCCTAGATTTCAGAGTGGCAACATGTGACAAAAAGAACCAATGGCCCAAACAGCACCCTATATCTACTAATAGGTGAGATCTCTGGAAAGAAGTGGCAAGTGGCACTTGTGCTAATGGCACAGATGTATGCATACCTTATGTGGAAAAAGGTTTGGTTTAACTAGGCATCACAGCCATACGAACCTGTCCAACCAGAGTCAGATCCTCATAATGGTGGTCCCTTATCAGACTCTACAGAACACGACTTTACCTTGTCTCCATGTGCAGCTGACTGAGCAGGTCACTTTGCAGATAGTCCCAGGACAGTTCCACAGCACCCAGATAATATCTTCTAGTGGCACTAAAGCTGAACGGCAAAAGGCACAGAAAGAAGCAGGTGGAGAGCTCTATTTTCATGGCTCTTCTTGCTAGAAAAATTAATTGGAGAAGTGAAAGATTAACTCTTCTCTAAAATATCTTTAGCTGCCAGGAGAAAAAATTTTCTAGGATTCAGTCAGAAGTTCCAAATGGTTTGCACAAATTTTAGGGCACTTTAACCACTGGATGTGACAGCAACATTAACACTGTGCAGGACTGATAGGACTGCTTCCTTTCGGGCAGTGGGAAGCCGCAGGAAGAACCAGATTAGGAAAAGGGTGGTGGAACTAAAGCTTAACCCATTCACTTCTGACAGCAGCAGGGGCATGAGAACCTCTCAGGGTAGGAAGAGAGGAGGGAGTGGTGAAGGTTGATCATTGTTCTGACCCACGCTGCACCCACCTCGTGATCTTGCTGTATAAAACTTCCTTTGAGAAGTGGGCTCGTGGGCAGTCTACTTTGGGGGCCCTTCCTGTTTCTCAGGAGGTATCGCTTTCTCTAAATTTTCCTACTCTTAATCTCTGTTGTTCCTTAGAATTCATTCTTCGATTTTGGGGAACACAAACTCAGTTTATCTGACATCTAGCAAGTTGGGAAGTACATTTATTTCCCCTATATCACCAGGCTGTATAGAAAATAGTACTTATATGTAAGAACTGTTCTAAGTGCTTCATAATGAGATAGTGTTATAGGGTAGTTCCTTTAGAAATGGCTCACCAATCAAAATTGCAGATCCTTCTTGTCCTGCACAAAGAATTGAACAAAACAAGCCAAAAACGGTGCCAAAAGTTTATTTGAAAAGTGCAAGGTGAATGGGTATGGGAGAAATCAGCTCTGCGGAGCAAACGGGCTGAACAAAGAGAAAAAGAGGGTAAAAGTGAAAATAAAAGTACAGATGGCATGAGAAACACGGTCTATCACTGGAACTCACAAACCATAGTGGTTACCGGTGGTGCCTGGTGTTTCATGCCTCAACATTTTGTGGAAGCTCCAGAGAAGGTCTATATACTAGGTACAGGTATTGCCCTGAGATTGTGTAATTGACAGGTCTCTGCCAGCTTTGCTGCACCCTAGCGATACCTCCTGAGCAACAGGAAGGAGACAGAAGAAATAAAGTTAGGTAGAAAGGACACCAGGAAATAATATTTTAAAAATTATACTTTAATGAAAAACTGCAACTTCGGAACACAAGCCTGGTTTATTTACTTGTTTTCCTTCTCCCCAAACAGCAAACTCGGGCAACTTCCTTTCAGCTGCAAACGGGTCTGCCCATTTCCTTTTACTTGCAAATCCTCCTCTTCTGCCCAAGGAAGTACCACCCTTTTGGGATTTTCCGTTGGAATAGAACATTATTTTACAAGGTGTGGGCCATTCTCTCCCACCAAGTCTAAGACTATACATTACCGAATTCCAGAGATTTCCACCTCAAAACACATAAAGGAACCCCAATTCCCAACTGTATGGTGCCTCATTTTTCTGAGCATCTACACTCTGCCCTTGAGTGTACCCTATGTCTATGTCTAATAAATCCTTCTCCTGCCTCTTTTACTGAGGGATTCTGAAAATTCTTCTTCTGCAATAGTCAGCAAAATTATTTTATTTTATTTTTTTAATTAATTTTTTTTGTGTTTTTGAGACAGGGTTCAGTATGCAGTTCAGGTTGGCCTTGAGCTCACTTTGTAGCCCAGGCTGGTCTTGAACTCGCAACGATCCTCCTGCCTCAGCCTCTCGAGTGCTGGGGTTACCGGCGTGCACCACTAAGCCCCGCTCCAGCAAACTTATTTTAAAGGGTTGGGTTAAGTTCCTTATTTCAGCTTCGGGGACCCTCAGACCCAGCCTGCGACAATAACAGCTCCTTTTGTTGTCTTCACTTTATGGGAAATGAAGCATGAAGACATTAGACAACTTGCTCATGATTACACTGTCTTAAGTGGCAGAATTCAAACATGATACTAACCACTATGATTTATTTGTTCAGTGAAGAAATGAATAACATGGAGGCCCATGCCTGTATTCCCAGCACTCCGGAGGCTGAGGCAGGAGGATCACTATGATTTCCAGGCCAGCCTGGACTACAGAGGATGACCCTGCCTCAAAAGAACAAAACGAACCAAAAGAAATGAATAAAACCCAGTGTTTGTGTCTAGGAGTCGAGTCCTAATTGGGAACATGGGTTATTTGCAACACTGCGGAATGACCATAGATAACGCAACCAGGTACTGAAGTGAGCCGGCTAGCCTAAGGCCACATCCATTTGTTCTAAACAAGGCAGTGAAAATAACAGGCTGAAAGGACAGTAAGTAATAGTTATAAAACATGAGTATATTTTTATTCCAATATTTTAAAATTGTGTTTTCCACAATTTAAAAGCTTTGGGTCATGTGGTAGTAGTGATTTAATCCAAAGTTGCCACAGACTTTTTGTTCTTTTTTTGTTTTGAGACAGGGTATCTGTCTCAATTGCTGAATTGCCTAGGGTGGGCTAATACACGATACCTCCCGCCTCCGCCTCCCAGCGCGCCGGGATGACAGGGCTGCGCCACCAGCCGGACTTTCCGGTTAAATACCGTTAACCGGGCAAGGGCAGGCTGCGCAGGCGCCGCTGCGGGGCAGCGTCCCGCGCCTGTGCGTCTCCCTCAGTCGGCAGGGCGGGGCCCTGGGGTTTGTGACCCCGCTGGCTGAATTTTGTGACGCAGCTGCCAAGGGGCGGGAAGCCACCGCGGAGAGCCCCGCCCGCTCTCTTCCGCCGCCGGCCTGGGAATGGAAACATCTGCCCCACGTGCCGGAAGCCAGCTGGCCACGACAGCTGCGCGCCAGCCGGCGTCCGGCCTCGCCGAGTCCGCGCGAGCGGCCTCGCGAGACGAGCTCGCCGAAATGGCGGCGTCCAGCCAAGGTAAGGGTGCGCCCGCGGCCGGCGCCTCGGGAACCGCTTGCCTCGGCTCCGTGCACGGGGGCTCTGCGCCCGTCGGCGCATGCGGAGGTGCCTGTGGAGCGCCGACGGAGCGGGGACGTGCGGGGCGCCCGGGGGCCGGCCCCGGGCACGCACAGGACTGGGCCTGAACTGGCCTCTGACTTTGTCACCGCGCGCGACTTGCCCAGCCCCCGGCGCCGCCCCCGGCTGCTGAGCTGGTAATTCGCGTCCCAGCTCTTGGGAGCCTCTGGCTTTTGAGTCCCTGTCCCTGTAGACGTTGCTTCTTTTTGTCTTTTTGAGACAGGGTCTCGCTCTGCAGTTCAGGCTGGCCTTGAGCTCACTTTGTAGCCCAGGCTGGCCTCGAACTCGCAAGGATCCTCCTGCCTCAGCCTCCCGAGTGCGGAGATTACAGGCGTGCGCCACCACGCCCGGCTGGAGACGTTGCTTTCTAACGCCTGGTAGGCGTCATTCTCATTAGAACCTCCCAACAGGATTTTTGACTGTTTTGAAAAAAGTAGCTTTTATGGGACAGAACTTGGAAATGCTCTTTTTAATCGACTTAGTCAAAGAAAGGTCCCCTATAATTTAATTCGGAGAGGAACACGTCCTTAAATTATACTGGGTACCGTATTTTTCTTAGGGAGCATTTAATTCAGTACTGGTTCACAGGATCTCATTGCCAAACAGCGAAAATTCAGTAATATAAACTTAGCCTTAAATTGTGTTAAGAACAAAGATAATGAAAATCTTTGAAGTGCATCACTTCCTATTCACTGTATTTTACTGTTACATATGTTCTTAAAGTTATGTACACCTATTTTATCCGTGGAAGAAATACCATAGAATCAGGTAGTAGTGTGTATCCCTTTCTGACTCAGGTTTTAGTGATGTCACGGTTCAGTGGTATTGCCCTCAGGATGTGTGAATATACCCCCAAATTTGGTGTGCACAATAAATCAGCCCCCCCAAAAGGCACTTGTTAAACATTTATAAGCACACCACTAAATTTAGGTGCCTATGAAGTTGGAATGTGTAATATGATCATTATTTTCCTGCAGGGCAGATTGCTTTCATTTACCTAGTGTGTAGCTTCAAGTAGTTGTGAGAAGTTTTGAGCCTGACATGAATTTCAGCCCTTATCCTGAGGAGCAGATAGAGCTGTGATCCTTGGTTTGGAGGAGTTCTATAAGCGTGGCTAATGACTTTCACGTACCGGAGGTCTTAGTGGCGTCTTATGAATGACTGGAGGAAATGGGATGAAACAGATGGCTCTGATTTAATCTCTTTTGACTGCAGCCAGCTGTTCAGCTAAGGGGCTTGGTAAAATTACATTAAAACAAAACCCCAAATTCCTTTTTGTTTTCAGTGATCATTTCTTCAACATAGCAGTAATGTTTTGTTGTTACAGGAAAGTGTATTAATTGTTAGGCCATAGAACACCCGGTTCCTTATCTATTTTGTGGTTCTGCAAAATTGAGATCCATAATCTTTCTTGAATTACTGTTTTGTGTGTGATGTAAGGTAGAGCTTCAGGATCATTTGTTTGTTAGGTGTGAATATAGACTACCTTCAACACCATTTGTTGGAAACACATGCTTTTTCTCCATTGAGTTACCTTGGTGCCTTGTTACTAAAAACCAGATGACAGCTGTGTGAATCTATTTCTGGACTTTGTATTTTCATCCACTGATATATTTGTGTATCCTTAGGTCAATTCAGTGGTATGTTGAATACCATAGCTTTATAATCCTGAAATTAGGTGTGTTTTGTACTGTAACTTTATAATAAATATTGAAATTTTTTTTTTTTTTTTTTGTCTTTCTGAAACAGGGTCTTGCGAAACAGTTCAGGCTGGCCTTGAGCTCATTTGTAGCCCAAGCTGGTCTCAAACTCGAAACCATCCTTCTGCCTCAGCCTGCCAAGTGCTGGTATTATAGGCTTGCGCCACATGCCCGGCTTTGAAATTTTTTAAACTTTGTTCTTTTTCCTCCCAAGATTATTGTGGCAGAGTGTCTTCCCAAATGATTGCATCACTGCCTCCTCTTCCACATTGTCTTCCTTTGAAGTGACTTTGGTACTCCTCCCACTAAGAGGTGGACTCTGTATTCCTTTGCCCTGAATTTGGTTAGGAGTTTGTTACTCCTCAGCAGAATTCATTGTAATTAGCAATGATTGGCTTCCGAGGCTAAGGTTTAAATTGCCATACAACTGCTGCTTGCCCCTTGGTTTTTCCCTCACTGCAGACAGTCACTTCTTCAACCCATCCACCATCTTGTGAGGAAGCCCAGTCTGATCTCTCTAAGCAGGCAGTCTGTATGTGAGATTGTAGACTTTTCAGATGATGGCAGAGTTTTCTAGCTGTAAAATTTCTAGCCTGCTAAGTTTTCCAGCTAAAGACTCAGACATGATGAAGCAGAGACGAGCATTAATGCTAGGGCTAAATTCCTGATCCACATAATCTGATAGCACGTTGTTGTTGTTGTTGTTACTGTTTTGAGAGAAGGTTTTGCTCTGTAGTTCAGGCTGGCCTTGAACTCACTGTAGAGCCCAGGCTGGCTGTGAACTTGCTGTGATCCTTCTGCCTCAGCCTCCAGAGGCGTGCTGGGATTATAGGTTTTACTCAGTGAAGATTTTGTTGTACAACCATAGTAACTGGAACACAGTGCTAATTCCTTCATACTTTCATACAAATTTTAGAACCAGCTTGTCAGTTGTGTAGAAACCTGGTCTTTAATTGATTGTATCATCTGTAGATCAGTATAGACAGTATAAGCATCTTGAAAACATTGAGTTTTGCATACTATAAACGTGGTATCTCTGCCCATTAATTTAGGGCATCTTTCGTTTCTGCATTCTGTACTTTTGTTTCTGAGTTAATTTACTATTTAAAATAGAATTATATTTGGTGGATTCTATATTACAACTACTTGTGGTTCTTTAAAAATCTCTTAATCTAGTGAGGAATGATAGTGATTAATTATAAAAGTAGGTGTTTTCTTATTTAGTATCTTAATTCTTGTAGGAAACTTCGAGGGAAAGTTTGAGGCACTGGACCTTGCAGAATTTGCTAAAAAGCAGCCTTGGTGGCGCAAGCTATTTGGGCAAGAATCTGGACCCTCTGCTGAGAAGTATAGTGTGGCAACCCAGCTGTTAATTGGAGGTGTCACAGGATGGTAAGTGTGAAAGATGTGCAATGTCTTGTGTGCATGAGTTAATATTATGGTTATAGGAATGTTCTCCTTTAATTAATGAAAATACCCTGACTTTGGTGAAATTGATTACTTAATGTATAGCATTTATCTAAACATATTAAAGTATATTTGATGGTTATACATAGTATTCACTACATGCTGGGCAGTGTTTAAAGTACTTATGTAGGTATCTCATTTTCTTCTCATAACTCAGAAATTAATATGGTTATTACCTATGCTTATTTTGTGGAAACTGAAGCTCAGAAAGGTTAAATTACGCAAGGCCACATAGCTAATAAGTGGTGAAATGAGATAGCCACTCATTAGCTATGTCAGATAGTGTGCAACACAGCTTATGGTTTTGTTTGTGATGTATTCAAACAATGTTAATAGCAAATTTAGAAAGTGAATATCTAATCCATCAATTTCAGAAACTCTTTACATTTGAAAAAGCTTATTGTATAATGTAAACAAATTAATAACAGTGCACATTTTAACCACTATAAGCTCCTGTGTACAACCATTCAGGTTAAAAAAATATGGCTAGCACCCCAGAGAAGCTAAAAGTTGTTAAGCCGTTGTTTTTCTTTATAGTTTTGATACTAATTGTCACGAGCCTATTATAGTTGACTTGGTTTTGAACTTTAAATACATGCAGTCACTATGTATTCTTTTAATTCTTTTTTTGTTCACCCTGACATTTTGTATATTTGGCCATGTTGTGTGTAGTTGTAGTTTCTTTGTTTTTGTTAGTGTTTAGAATTTTGTTGTATGAATATGCCACAGAACATTTGTCCATTTGATGACTGACATTTGACCTTTTCAATTCTGGACTAGTACAAATAATACTAATACGAACTTTCTACACAAATATCCCAGTATATATGTGTACACATTTTTGTAGGGTCTGTACCTAGGGATTGCTAGGTTATGGGATATGTTATCTTCAGCTTCACTAGGTAGTGTCAGACTGCTTTCCAAATGTGGTTGTAAAAGGTTATGCTCCTGGCAACACAGATTGAGTGTTCCTGTTGCTCTACATTCTTGCCAGTACTTGATATTGGCCCTTAAGCCAGTTCGATAGATAATGGTATCTTGTCATGGTTTTCCTTTACATTTTCCCGAGTAGGAGTGAAATCAGACTTTTACATATGTTCATTGAATATTTGGATCTCTTTTATTAAGCTCATTGCTACTCTTCTTACTATGATGTTGTTACTCTTTCTTTGAATTGTAAGAGTTTTAAAAAATATATTCTGAGTATCAGTCCTTTGTTAGATGTAGTATTAGATATTTTTTTAAAACAAATTCTGTATTCTGTAGTTATCTTTTCACTTGCTTTATGATACTTTTTTTTTTTTTGGCTTTTCTTTTTGTGAGACCAAGTCTCACTGTGTAGTACAGGCTGGCCTTGAACTTGCTTATGTAGCCCATGCTGGCCTGAACTCACGGGGATCCTCCTGCCTCAGCCTCCCGAGTGCTGAGATTACAGGTGTGTACCACCATGCCCAGCTATGATACCTTTTGATGAACTGAAGATCTTATTTTTATTTTTTTTTAAACTTTTTTATTTTTTTATTTTTTTGTCTTTTTGGGACAGGGTCTCACTGTGCAGTTCAGGCTGGCCTTGAGCTCACTTTGTAGCCCAGGCTGGCCTCAAACTCACAAGATCTCCTGCCTTAGCCTCCTGAGTGCTGGGATTACAGGTGTGTGCCACCATGCCTGGCTCTGAAAATCATACTTTTAATGTGGTCAATTTCATAATTCTTTTTTTTTTTTTTTTTTTTTTTTTTTTT